AGGAAGATGCGCTGGAAGTGAATACGACACACACTGCGGAAAGTACCCTACTGAGTTACAAGACAAACCCTCACCTAGAACCCTCAAGGTCAGGCGAAAAGAGGAAGGCCAAAGAAAACATTACGCCGAGAAATAGAGAAATATATGAGAAGAATGAACAAAAATTGGATAGAACAGAGAAGGGGAGCCCAGGACAGAGTAGGTTGGAGAATGCTTATCGGTGGCCTATTCTCCATTAGGGGTAACAGGTGTAAGTTAATAAGTATCAACAACTTTCGAAGTAGTTAATCTTCTCCCATGTATACCCATTGAATTATTTTTCTCGTCAGCGTTTTTCTTAGCGAGTTAGTTTTCTACGGGATGGGGTCTCTAACCCCACACCAAACCCTCCTTCTTTATCCAGGCTTAAGACCGGCAGTAGCCCCTGAGGGGCTCCAAGCTCAATTACAACTATATATTAGAAATGACTTGTCTATTTCATCTATATACCCTGACGTATCAAAAAAGAGGCCCAGTTCATTACACTGTAGTGTGTCGGTCTACTGCGTGTTCTTAAGCTCGCTTTATAAATCAGAAGATGAACTCGTATTGATGAATACGTTTATTCGGAACACACACTACAAAGCGACGTGATTTGGAGAAGGCTGTTAAGCCAACTCCAAGAGAAAGAGCATGACTAAGAATATATAGTCAGACCAAAAATAAGGCAGACATATGACAAGCGAAATAGGCATGCACACACGTGAATAAAAGTGACGAATGATTGACAAGGTCAAAAGCAAGCGATACAAACCATGTGAGATCATGGGGATATTAAGAGATTAACATTAAAGCGAAAACGATGAGTAAGCTCGTAGGCGTAAACAATGCTCAGTCGTATAAGCTCATACTAACCAGATAATAAAAAATACCAATTGTGTACATATGAGTTGTTGCTATACAAATGGCTTGGTTAAATAAAACTTAATCGAAAGGGCTTAACCAAGTTAGATGTAAGCGAACTGGAATGAATATATGTGAAGGCACTACAACACTTTGAAATAGTAAAGAAAAGTCAAGGGAGCATTGTAGAACAGGTACATTCATATATTAACTGGCCAATCAAGAGTAGCCCATCAATCAGTCGATGTGACGTCTTTTATGTTGATGTTCTGATTTGATAATTGTTTTACGTGGTGGAGTGAAGTAGAGTACACGTGTTATCCCTAATGGAGTATAGGCCGCCAACCAGTATTATATTTTCTGGTAAGCGTTTTTGTAGCGTGTTGATATTCTACAGGATGAGGTCGCTAGACGCATGCCTAACCCTCCTCCTTTATCCAGGCTTTAGAGTGGCAGTAATTTCAGAAGAGCTCAAGGTGAAGTTTCACAATTGTAACTAGAAATAACTTTTTTCTAGTTCATTTCAGTCAAACCGTTGTCAGATAGGGTGTTTTAACGTTGGTCGATTGATAGTTTCAGTGCAACTCCTTAATCTCCACAACTCTATAATGATAACTATCCTGTGCTCACAAGTGACAAGCTTCAAGAGGGAATTCTCAGAGTTCTAGTGAGTAATCGTGACCAATGGAGTTCAGCCATGTCGGATGTAAGACAATTTCTCACCAAACACAATTGATGAGGTCGCTCAATACCGTGGGCTGACTAAAGTTCGACATTAACACTACTGGATATCGACTCAGTGGTCCAGAGGTTAAGCGTTCTCCGGTTTCGATTCTCTTGTGCGGGAGCGTGGATGAGCACTACTAATGAAATGGCAATCCAGTGCTTGTGTGCTTCCAGTATTGACTAAAAGTTGATTGATTCATTATTACAATGTTTTAAAACACTAAGAAACAAAAGTCATTTCACATTCTGATTTTCTAATTCATATGGAATTTTCGCTTCTATCAGGTCAGTTGTAAGTAAAAATAAATCAGCCATTACTCTCAAAGCAACGGTGCAGTCAGTCAGTCAGTCAGTTACAACGTAGAAATTCGTACGTATGTACATAAGTTCATGTTGCCATACCATATTAGCACAGAGACGCAAATGTCAAATCAAATCCCATAGTGATAAAGATAGGAGAGGTATTAATGGTAGTGAAGAAGACTAGGGTTTGAAAATATCATTCAAGAAGTATAATTCAGTGAGATGAGGTTAGAGAGACAAAGGTAGAGATGCTGACGAATCCAGAAGATTAGGATTTGAGAGAGCACAACGAATGGATACACTTGCGTCATTGCAAACGATTTTGAGCCATGTCGTTCAAGGTCTCTAACCATTGGCGACCTTCGTCTCACGGACCCCAACCAGGTAGTCTACATCTACCAACATGACTCAGTCCACTTGTCAGTGACTTCATGGATTTGTGCCATGTTTTTGTCTGACCGGCCCTAACTTTCTTCCAACCTACTCCTACACCACAAAACGTAGCTCGTTGAGGCAGTCGGTGGTTATGCATACGTAACAGATGTCCCAACCACCTCAACTGATGAAGTTAACGGTGCAGTAATGTATATGGTATCATTTTGACTATCTACCTAAACCTAAGCTTTAAACTAATATTTACGAAGTGTTTGGACATTTTATTAATCTGTAATTAATTTACAAATAACGATTATATATGAAATTTTGAAATCTCTCCTTTAATATTTATGGATTCAGACATGATGTTACTCATTTAAAGTTTAAGTAGTCTGTCATCCTAAATATTTAAATGATAATGATTTGACGATCTAGAAAAACTGTGAATAATAAATAGTACATAAAAGTTATATTTTACACACAATGTATGTTGTACTTATAGTATTATCACTGATCTATAATATCATGGAGAGTTTTCAGTTATAAGAGTGTCTGCTGATATAATTTTATCGGAACAAACGGATTGGATTTCCGACAGTATGAACTGATGTTATAAGGTGTAAACCATTGGAACATTGAAACAAAACATTGGATTATGAAGAATTTGAGTGATAGAAATTAAACACATTCAGTTTAACCTTGGTGTAGTTAGGCTTTGTCTAACTAGGGACTCTAATGTTAGGTGGTTTGAGAGAGAGTTAGTAGAGAACTTCAAGCAAGTATAGCCACGTTCGGCAAAGTCCTACTCACTGTCTTCTCACAACAGGATTGTTGTTCACGAAAGTGAGAGAAAGAAAAATAAATGTCCGGTGGAGGCTTAGGTTGGGTAAGAGGGTACGTAAGATCCACTTAGTTCGATCATAGGTGTCTTCGAAGCATTGCTCGTATATCGTGGGACAACCGAGTAAGCAATGCTGTCGTTAGCAAAAGGGGGCTAGGTAAGAATGGCAGATCAATAGATGAAGTAATGAAACTTCATCAGTTGAGGTGGTTGGAACATGTGTTACATATGGCTAACCACCGACTGCCGCGACGAGCTATGTTTTGCAGTGTAGGAGTAGGTCGGAAGAAAGTTAGGGGCGGCCAGACCAAAACATGGTACAAACCCATGAAGTCAGTGACAAGTGGACTGAGTCATGTTGGTAGATGTAGACTACCTGGTTGGGGTCAGCGAGACGAAAGTCACCAATGGTTAGAGACCTTGAACGACATGACTCAAAATCGTTTGCAACTGCACAAGTGCATCCATTCGTTGAGTTCTCTCAAATCCTAATCTTCTGGAATCGTCAGCATCTCTACCTTTGTCTTTCTAACCTTATCTCACTGAATTATACTTCTTGAATTAGCATCTTCAAACCCTAGTCTTTTTCATTACCATTAATACCTCTCCTATCTTTATAACTATGGGATTTGATTTGACATTTGCGTCTCTGTGCTAATGTGGTATGGCAACATGAACTTATGTACATACGTACGTAGTTCTACGTTGCAACTGACTGACCGAGATCCACTTACAGGAGTGGAAATACCTGATTTCAAACAGATGGTGCATTTGGGCTCCAGAATTCTGATGGAACAAACGACCTATGAATTTATTGTCAGCGACTGCCCACCATGGGTCCAATAGTAGAAGAGGTAGTAAAGGTATTAGAAGTAATCGGAGAGGTTAGGATTAGAAGATATTATTCAAGAAGTATGATTCAGTGAGAAAAGTTTAGAAAGTCAAAACTAGAGGTGTTGAAGAATCCAGAAGATTAGGATTTGAGAGAACACAAAGAATAAATGCACCGGCACCATTGCGAACGATTTTGAGCCATGTCATTCAAGGTCTCTAACCATCGATTATTATCATCTCGCGGACCCCAACCAGGTAGTCGACAATTACCGACATGGCTAAGTTCACTCGTCAATGATTTCATCGATTTCTGCCATGTTTTGGTTTAGCCGCCCCTAACTTTCTTCCAACCTATTCCTACACTACAAAACCAAGCCTGTCGAGGCAGTCGGTGGTTAGGTATACGCAACACATGTTCCAACCACCTCAACTGATGAAGTTAAAATACTTCATCTATTGATCTGCCAATCTTACCTAGCATCCGATTCCTAATAACAGCGTTGCTCACTCGGGTGTTCCACGATATACGAGCAATGCTTCGAAGACACCTATGATCGAAAACCAGTAACCCACGAATATCTTCTACTCTCACTGGCCATGTTTCACAGCCATAAAGTAAGACGAAGCGAACCACTGCACAGTACACTCGTCCTTTAGTCAGCAAACGGATACAGGTTATCACTGATAACATTTCATATCGATCGATTATCATGCAGGTGGATTCAATTTATAAAAAAAAACGTCAAAACTGAACATCAGCAAACTCTATTTGTGTCAGAGATTTGATAAAAACATGGCGTTTAGATTTATCGTCAGTCAACAAACATATTGATATCAATCCAGTCAAGGTTGTAAGTCAACCAAGCATCAGACTTAACAACAATGTAACAACAAAGGGAATCATGAAAATGATCAGTCACAAACAAATTCAAACCAACAAGTTGATGTGTTATAACACTCATTAAGTGAAAAGCTCACTGAAATGACACTGAAAGCTCTATAATAATAAACTGTTTAACTGACTGACTGACTGACTTACCTCCATCAGCATAAGTTTCTACACCGAAACTAGGGAAACCATTTTCAAATTCCCCCTCAAATCGTCCAATTGAATTCTCTTTACATTTAATACCACATTTAATAAAATCATCTTTAAACTGCCCCATAATTACCCAATCTTCTCGTGTAAATATACCATGTCCATTGCGTCGATTATGCGCCCATTCACCTTCATACATAGCACCTGGTGCATTTGGCCATAAGAATACACCACTTTTCTCTGAACCAGCATCCCATAATCCAGTATATTCACCTTGACATTTATCTTTAGTGATTAAACCCAATCCAACTGCTTTCTCATTTAACCATTCACCAATATACAAACCGGAATCTTTAAATTCATATCGACCAGCTGGTAGACATGTAGCTTCAGTTTTTACGAAATCCATATTCACGTACAAAACATTATGATGGCCGTTGTTGTTTTCTAAGTAGCGAATCCGATCCGATCCGATGTCTTAGTGTTGTTTTATGACAATGCACAATAGAAAGTTTTGATTACTCATGAGTATTATATGTACTAGTCGGAAAAGTGATAAAAATCAATACATCACAGTGTATGCTTTGTTTTGCCTCAAAGACTTTATTGAACAGATAGAAATAAGAATAACGTTATAATTGTGTGTGTGTGTGTATACTCAATGAATAGTGCTGAGAGAGACCAAAGAAAAACCTTTAAACATTTCTTGGAATGTATGACATAATTTCTGCGGAATTTCAGCTTCCTTCCTTCCTTCCTCGTTTATTTTTCTCCCCAGAATATCTTGTATCCTCCTCTTTTGATCATTCGAATCGTTAATCGAAAGAAAAAAAACACTTGCCATTTGATTGGTCTAAACGAGTGTAAACAACATTTTCTAACTAACCAATCAAAACAAGACAAACTGCCAATCATGTCAGTATTCTCACTTCTGATTGGTTAGTTTCATCACACACACAAACATGTATGTATGTCTATGAATAAATCACCACAATAATGACCGACCGGATGCATTGGTGCTTCCGCATACGATCGATCAATAGGCCACTGGGATGACGATTAGAATATTTCCATCGATCGATAACCTGTTTGTTAGAATATCTATTTTTTGAAGAAAAAAAAACCCAGTTGGTTTTAATTATTTGGCAATAAATTGGGTTTTGTACTTTTATTTAGGACGAATACCTAAATATGTTGTTGTACACAGTAAAACTCCTACGTAAAAATCTTTACACATTGGTTGGAAAAATCAGTGTGAAAAGAAACTATGTGTTTTTTGACATAATAAGTAGGATTTGTGGCAATGATTTTGCCCCAATTGTTCAAATTTTGTAAAATAAAATGTGAAAAACCAGATTAGGATGATGAATAGAAGATAAATTAACATAATACACATAGATCGATTGTTGATTAGTTCACTAGAATGAAAATGGATAGTTTAATTATTGAAAATTTTGAATCTTGGGTCTAACACTAGGAAATCTCGATTGCATATGGATGATACTTCTTTTACAAAAAAAAATATTCCTTACAATTGATTCATCATTGTCTGGTATGGTTTATGTGTGTTGGGGACGTTAGATCCCGTAGAAATCACTTGAAAAAGGTTGGGATTTTGGAGTTTTTGTGTTTTCGCGCGTCGGTTGATCAATTGACTTTGAGATTACATTTCCCATTTGGAAACTCCTTGACTGTTTGTCATGTTGGTAGATGTAGACTACTTGGTTGGGGTCAGCCGGACGAAAGTCACCAATAGTTAGATACCTTAAACGACATGGCTCAAAATCGTTTGCAATGGCGCAAGTGCATACATTCGTTGTGCTCACTCAAATCCTAATCTTCTGGATTCGTCAGCACTTCTACCTTTGTCTTTCTAACCTTATCTCACTGAATTAAACTTCTTGAATAATATCTTCAAACCCTAGTCTTCTTCATTAGCATTAATACGTCTACTATCTTTATCAGTATGGGATTTGATTTGACATTTGCGTCTCTATGCTAATGTGGTATAGCAACATGAACTTATGTACATACTTACGAAGTTCTACGTTGCAACTGACTGACTGACATAATAGGTTGTTAGTAGTTTTTCTTTTAATAAAGTCACTGAGTCAATTAATTTAACTTTTTGAATTGTCTGATTAAAACAAACTCTTTTTAATGATAAAACTTTTTGTAATATATCTAAAGTGATAGTTCGAACAGTTAGTCAGTCAGTCAGCTACAACGTAGAACTTTGAACGTACGAGTGACATTTCAAGTTGCCATACTGTAATAGCACGGAAAGATCGAATCGTCAATTCAAATCCCATAATGGTGGCGGTAGTAGTGTGGTGCGCGCTACTTATAAGTAGTATATGACGTGAGTGTCAACGTAATGTCTAGTGGCAGCAGAAGAGGATGGGGGAAGATCAAGAAAGGAAGAGTTAGAACACAATGGAATTTGTATGAAACGCATGAATAGTGACAATGGATTGATGTTTTGCAACAGGAACAGTCCAGTTCGATGGATGATGGACTGATATTTTGCAAATGAACGATTTACGATATGGTTTTCCTATTTTACTGAGTAACTCTGTAATTTTCGTTAAATACAAAATCGGTTGCCCTCACCTGAGTTCTCCTTCACTACAGTAGCAGTATTATTAGTAATGGAAAAGAGGTGGGTTTGAAGATACGATTTGAAGAGTTTAGTTTAGTGAAATAAATTTAAAATAAAAAAGCTAAAGGTCATGATAAATTCAGAAGATTAGAATTTGAAATAAGATAAATAGTGGATGCACATGAGTTAATGCAAACGATTTTGAACCATGTCATTTAAAGTCTCTAACCATCAGTTACTACTATCTCGCGAATCGTAACCTGGTAGTCTACACCTACTTACATGGCTCAGACCATTTTGTTAATGACTTCATGGATTTGTGCCATGTTTTGATTTAGCCGCCCATAGCTTTCTTCCAGACTACCCCTAAATCAGACAATATCACTCATCGAGACAATCGGTGGGCTCAATCATTTGATCAGTCTACCAAAATTTTAAGCACTAAAACGTCAATTTTTCGCTAACAGAAAAAGTCATTATTACATCTCAACATATTGAGTGTGATAATGAGTCACTTAAATCAGTGGCTACATTGTAACATGATCGATAGGATTCAATCAACATCACTAAAAAGGATTCGATATACATGATCAATCAAGTCTAAATACATCTTAGTCCTATCACGGTTCAATCTCAATCTGGATAGATCAATGGCACCGTCTATGACTATAAAACTGGGAATCGAATCCGTCTGGGAGCATCCATTCTCCCAAAATTACAAGTACACCTTGATGACAAATGCCAAATAACCTGAAACCTAGATTCACAGTTTCCCGCAGATTACTCCCAACCAGAATCTTATATCTTAGCATACTGAGCACAATGTTGAGACGCCCAAATCATTTGCTACATTGTAACTCAGTCGATGGAATTCAACTAACATCACCATGAAAGAATTAACATAGATGACAGTGATTTACTCTGCAATGATTAATCAACGATAACTTTTAGTGGTGATCAAGTTTAGATTGACTATGATCACCACTAAATACGAATTAATAACCCGTTGTAGTGAAGGAGAACACAGGTGGGGGCAACCGAATTGTATTTAACGAAAATTACAGAGTTACTCAGTAAAATAGCAAAACCATATCGTAAACCGTTGTTAATTTGCAAATCTTCAATCCATCATCAATCCATTGTCTGACATTTCACTTATTCATGAGTTTCATACAAATTCCATTGTGTTCCCACTCTTCATTTCTTGATCTTCCCCCATCTTCTACTGCCAGACATTACGTTGACACTCGCGTCATATACTACTTATAAGTAGCTCGCACCACATCGTCACTGAGAAGATAAGATAAATCCATATTAAAGAATATATATTTTCTGGCGATTTCGTTGGTATCAAAAGAACACCAAAATTGAGTCAGGAAAGTTGAGCCAATCTACAGAGTTGGTTAACAATATCATAAACAGAAAGTACAGTTACACAATCACTAGTACAACTAGTCATAATAATAAATGTTTCCATTTCACCAATTGCGTTCTCTTCATAAAAGTGTTCCACTACACACTTAACATATTATTGACATATGTCGAGTCCATATGGTTTGTCCTAGCCTTTAGACTGTAGTTCCTCCACATATAATATCCCAGTTCGCTTACATCTAACTTGGTTAAGCCATTTCGATTAATTTATTTAACCACAAGCCATAATTTGTATAGCAACAACTCATATGTACACCATTGGTATTTTTTATTATCTGCTTTGTATGAGCTTATACGACTAAGCATTGTTTACGCCTACGCGCTTACTCATCCTTTTCGCTTTCATGTTAATCTCTCTTAATATCCCCATGAACTCACATGATTTGTATCGCTTGCTTTTGACCTTATCAATCATTCGTCGCTTTTATTCATGTGTGTGCACGCCTGTTTCGCTTGTCATATGTCTGTCTTATCCTTATCTGACTATATATCCTTAGTCATACTCAATCTCTTTGAGTTGGCTCTTAGCCTTCTCCGATTACGCTTCGCTTTGTAGTGTGTTCCGAATAAACGTATTCATCAATACGAGTTCATGTTCTGATTTATAAACCGAGCTTAAGAACTCGCAAAAATTCGTCACACCACAAGACAAATTAATTTCTACATTCTTCTTGAGTTAATTACACGTTTTTCGACGTTTTCAATTACTTGCTTATAATCTTGGTTCTCTTTATTTGAGTGCAGGTGCGTCGTGTTTATTTTGTTTATCACATGTCAAGTTTTGTATAAGAATTAATAACTACTACTCCTACTGTGGTGCGAGTTACTTATAAGTAGTATATGACGTGAGTGTCAACATAATGTCTGGCAGCAGAAGATGGGGGGAAGATCAACAAGAAAGGAAGAGTTAGAACGCAATGGAATTTGTATGAAACGCATGATTAGTGACAATGGATTGATGTTTTGCAACAGGAACAGTCCAGTTCGATATGATGAACTGATTTTTTGCAAATTAACGATTTACGATATGGTTTTCCGATTATACTGAGTAACTACTCTGTAATTTTCGTTAAATACAATCCGGTTACCCCACCTGTGTTCTCGTTCACTACAGTACTACTAGTACTACCTCGTCACACTGAGTTGGCCTACTCTCCTTTTCCGCTTCACTTTTCCTCATTTCGCCTGTTTACGAGAATGTATTAAGTGAACTGATCCACATAAAATCGTACTGGGCTTCTTATAACCACCGTTGCATAATCAGAAATTGAAGAGGAGATTTTTCACAAAGAATATTCATTTGTTCTTATAAACTGAAAGTCTGATATCAGGCCACTGGAATACATTACTGCAATCTTAATGATTCCATTTCA